TTACACATTCAGTTTGGATGTTTAAAATTTGGACTTCATGGGGGACCAGCAGTTAGCGTAATGGCTATGTCGCTGGACTCCCATGTAGTCGACCACGGTTCGAGTCTCGGACTGATGGCTTAGACTCACTCCGGGCGCGTATGCGTGCGTGCCCAAGATCCCAAGAGGAGAATGGAGGAGAAGGGATTGCAGCGTGGCCATCCTCCCTGCGGGGTGATTTCTCGCTTTCTGTCTCCCTGTCTCTCTCTGTCAGTCTGATGAACGCACGCGCCCTATAGCGAAAACCTCTCAAAAAAAAAAAAAAATTGGACTTCATTAGTTTGCATATGCTTGAGATAGCTTCTTCAGCAGAGAGAAAGAAGGAGGGAGAGAAAGCACCTCCTGTTAGGGTATGGTCACATCACAGTCCTGTCTCCATTTTTTCTGTGGATTGTGGACATGCATGCACACACACATGCCTAGTGAGTTATGTTAAGCCATGGGATTCAAACCATCAGCTATCTGGGATCTGGCTTCCTTAACCACTAGGCTACAAGGATGACCCAAATCTAGCATAATTATTAACAGCACTCTGTTTTGCTCTAAAAAGTGTCCCATGTTGAAAAATACATAACTTGGACACTCTGGTTATACTGCTAGCATATTTGCTTTCCCTTTGCATTTCAGACAGGATTGATTTAAGATTCCTTTCCCCTTTCCTCTGTCTTTCCTCTTAGTCCACATCCCATACACAGAGGATGAATAGGAGAGAGATATATGTATGTATGGAAGATGGAGTTAGCAAAAAACAGCATGAAGGAGTTATGAAAAACATAGTTTGGGAATCCCATGTTATCTTTACAGAAGTATGTTTAAGGATGGCATATGTTTTTTTCAGTTTTAAAACATCTGTTATAATGTTTACCAGTTGGCCAGTTCCAAACCTCTTTCTATTTACGTTTGGATTACACATTCAGTTTGGATGTTTAAAATTTGGACTTCATGGGGGACCAGCAGTTAGCGTAATGGCTATGTCGCTGGACTCCCATGTAGTCGACCACGGTTCGAGTCTCGGACTGATGGCTTAGACTCACTCCGGGCGCGTATGCGTGCGTGCCCAAGATCCCAAGAGGAGAATGGAGGAGAAGGGATTGCAGCGTGGCCATCCTCCCTGCGGGGTGATTTCTCGCTTTCTGTCTCCCTGTCTCTCTCTGTCAGTCTGATGAACGCACGCGCCCTATAGCGAAAACCTCTCAAAAAAAAAAAAAAATTGGACTTCATTAGTTTGCATATGCTTGAGATAGCTTCTGTCAATTTTTCAAGTTTCTCTTAAAGAGCATTTGAATTCCTGTATTTGTTCTGTAGTTTTATTTTTTACCTTTAATGTATTTAACATTTAGAATGGGCCATTTATTTCATATATGGAAGTTATTGTTTTATCTGTAAAAGACAGTGTATCTGGTGTTTTATCAAACCACTCTAATTTTGAAAAAGCATGTTATATTCCATGTGCCATAAAATTAATTGTGTAATATAGTCACATTTTGGTTTAATGTCTGTCTGTGCCATGAGGTGGTCATGCAATATTAATCTCATAGTGTCAGAATTTCCCAAGGAGAAGTCATCTGTGAAACAAAGGGAATCTTCAGAGAGGCAGCATAGGGTGAGTGGTAGCAGGGACCCTGGAACCAGAGACTGTTTAGGTTCATATTCGGGCTCCAGAACTTTCTTGTTATGTGACCTTTGGCTTATATTGAACTATTCTGTATCTTAGTCTTAATCTCATAAAAGAGATCATGATGCAACTATACTTTGTGGGTTTGTTGTGATGGTTAAATGAATTCTTGGGTAAATTATAGTAAATTGGGTCAAACAGCTTCTGACGTGTAAGCATTCTGTATGTTTGCTATTACTATTATTGCCAATAGAAAATACATTTGTTTGAGCTCCCTCAGACTTAAATGGAAACATGCCAGTGGAAAATATTAAGACAAGTGTCTCTTTGCATTATACGGAATTCTGCTGCTGTTTGTTGAAAGTATACAGGTTGTAGACTGAATATGGGAGGGTGGTACCTAAATGGGTTTATACAGAAGCTTCACAGAAAGCGTCTATGAGAGGATGTGTTGGTAGAAGTCTCGACTTCTAGCTCATTTCTTCCATTCATTTTAGTTTTCTCTTTCTGAGTTGCCTTACATAGTTGTTCTTCGAGGCTCAACTTCTGTGGCACTGTTTTGAAATGTTTCTCTTCATTCATTTGTCTGTCTGACTCTAATTAAAATAATTCACTCCTCTGCCCTTTGGCCATAGAATTTCGTTTATACCTTAACATAGCACTTAGAGTTAGCTGGACCGTGCAGATTGTGGCATGGCAAATGAATGTAAGTCTCACAAGTCCTACTGTTAGCTTGCTCTACGTTTTATTTCATTCCCTGTGGCTTGCTTTTATTTTTAATGTCCATTGTTGCAAGACGGGAAACATAGTTATTAGCTAGACCAAAGCTTCTCTATCTGCCAAGTATGCATTCATGATTAATTAGTATTGTAGATGTGATCTACTTGGAACTGAATACTGAAATAGCATACAGAGTAATGACGCTGTATGTGAGAAGTGCAAATAGAAAACGATTTGTAGCGACTTACTGACTAAAATATTTAAACTGGGAATGAAAAATGCAGAAATGTTTGCTATACTTTGAGAGTTTTCTCTGTATATAAAATTTTCATGCTTTAGTTGATTCGATAATATTTTAAAAGTATTTTTGTTCTGTTTATTGGGCACCTCCAACAATATTGTTATACTGTAGTCTACCCTCAGCCTTGGTCAGCCAGGATCATGGACCTGAATGCTCCTGGAGTATATTGGGAGACCTTGGGACGTGAACCTGAGACCTTCATATGTGGCCTCAGCATTGCAGAGCATTGTGTTACTTCTGAGCCACCGTATCTGACCAGTAGAATATTTCTGAAGGTCATTGCCATCAAGTATGGCATCAGGAAATAATACCATGCAATTTTGTCATAACTACATTAGAATGTACTCCCACTTAGATAGTAAGGTACAAAGTGGGTTTATAATAATAAATAAGAGTTTAATAAGAGTTATCTGCAACTCCAATGAGTTATCTGCAATTCCAATATTTTTTTAAAACTATTTCTATCTCATAAACTGTTATACTGATGAATCTCATGGTTGACATGTTCTAAAATTTAAACTTGTTTTTAGTATCACCATGCAAAAGATTCCATTGAGTACGGGAACACCAAGTAAGACCCACTAGGCATTTCCAGTATGTATTAGAGAGACTTATTGAAATTATTGGTCTTTCATGACACTCTCTGAATTAAAAAAAAAAAAAATTCTAATATCCAATCCGGTTCTTTATGGAAGGTAGGGTAGTATGATATAAAAACACTGGCTTTGGAGTAAAACATAGTTAGATTCAAACTATGGCCCTTGAACACTTAGGCTGGGTGACTTGGGACTAGGTATGTAAGATTCCTAACTTCAGTTTACTCAGCTCTAAAATAGGTTAAAAAATAAAATTAGCAGGCCAGTAGGTAGCATGGTGGTTAAGGCACTGCATCACACATGTCTGACTCTGCAGTTAGAGTTCCAGACCAGTGGCTTACTAATCATACCAGGCGTGTGTGTGTGTGTACGTGTGTATGCATGTGCCCAAAATCCTAAGAGGAGAACGGAGAAGGGATTTCAGCATGATTTCTCACTTCCTCTCTCTCTCTTTGTCTCTGGTGAGCCCTATGAAAAAAATCTTTATAAAAACAACCTAAGGGATTTGTAAAAATCAAGTGAGCAAAATCATTTATGTTACACTATTTATTTATTATAACTCTGTTAGAAAGATTTTTTTTTTAATTAAATGACTCTGCACGAACTTTACTGTTGGTATTTTTCTTGATCCAGAGTTTCACCTGGATTAAAACACTAACACAATTCGATCTTTGAAGGCTCATGGAGGCTGTCTCTTAATTACTTGCTATTGTTGCTTTTGGACATTCCCCTTAAGTGGTTCTAACTGTAATCTTCTGGCAATTTCAGCTGTGGTGTCTTCACCACTGTAAGTGGATGGCTAGTACCTTGACCCCATGTTCCCTTGAGCCTTACTTGAATATTAACTTCATTTAACCCCTCTGATGGTCACACCTTGTCTTGTTATCAGTTATAATAAGATTCTGCCACTGAAAGTACTTTTCTACCTCGGAATTACTATTCTCCAAGAATAATCTTAGTATTCTATCTTGCTTATAGAACCACTTCCCTTTAAACTGTCAGGACCTCTCATCCATTGTCCCTTCTATCTTCACTTAATCAGCCTTTCTGCATTCCTTTCATTTCCCTTCCTATACAACTGAGATTCCAAAGTCTGTTGTTTCAGCTGTTCTCTTGAATGTAACTCAGACTTCATTCTCATTTTGATTCTTGTGATATCCATAATATATCTTCACCTAAAATATTTTATAGAACATTAATTAACCTCTTAAATCTTCAGTTTTCTTGTGGATAACGTGAGTAAAAATGATACCTCATTAGATTATGATAAGGGATAAATGAGTTACAGTATAATTAAGCGACTCCGAAAAAAGTTTACCGTTGGTATTTTTCTTGATCCAGAGTCTCACCTGGCTTAAAACACAAACAGAATTTGAGATATATACAAACCGTTTAGCCTACGCTGTGACCCATGTGGAGAAAGGTAGCATGACATTTAGAGATAGACCATGTTTGCACCTACATTGCCACGTGATGCTAGAGACTTCACCAAGCCAGGCATATTCATATATTAGTTTGCCAGGAAATTCATTATTTTCTTTTTTGTTTTTCTGTGCAAAAATGCATCATGGCTTTCCTGTTGATCCAGTAGTATATGCTTGGAGTCACTACCATCTAGTGGGTCTTGAAACATTATCACATGGTTCAACTCTGAGCAAACACACTCATGAATTTCTAAAGGATGGGTACTTATGCATTTGAAATAACTAAAGCATAATTTAAATATTAGGAATCTCCGAGAGGCAAGAGATAATGCTGTGGCTGAAAAGGACCGAGCAGTGATGGCTGAAAAAGAGGCTTTAGAAAAACATGACCAGCTCTTAGACAGGTAAGGCTTTCTGAAAACAAGAATGTTAAGTCTTCAGTTTTAATTCCTGTTACCTTTTTTTTTTCAGAAAATATATTTTTCATGAAAGTATCATTTTTAGTTGAAACGAAGTAAAACAGAGCCATTATTTTTATAATATGTCATTATAGCATCTACTGAATATATGATTTAGAACAAGTCAATCACTCCAGAGTCTTGTTATACCACTTTCAGTCTGTCTTAACCACTGCCCTACCAGAGGGCAATCACTTTTGGATTTCTGTCACCGAAGTTTAATTTTGCTTCCTTGACTAAAACTAAATCAAATTAAATGGTATTTACACTTTTGTATCTATCTTACTTCATTCCATTTTGTGAAGTTCTTAATTATTACTAAATATGAATACACCATTGTTTGTTTCTTGTATTCATCTGTTGACGGACATTTCAGTTATTTTCACTCTGTAGCTATTACGAAAATAGCTGTCATGAACATTCTTCTACAACTTTTCTGTGAGCATGTGTTTTTATTTCTCTTGGGTAAATGCCTAGGAGTAGAATTGCTAATCCTAGGGTAAATGAATGTTGTACTTTAAAAGACCCTGCCAAACCTAACTCCAAAATGGTTGTCTTTACACACTCCGCAGTTCCTTTTTGCAAAATCTGTATGTTCTCATGCTTGTATGTGGGAAGTAGGGAAAAAGAGAGAATGATTTGTCTTTATTATAGAAAGAGAACATTGTTTTTAATAGCTTTGTTAAAAAGAAAATTACTAATGAGCATCAAGGTGAATATCATTACTCTCTAAACACCCTGACTTTCTGGTGGTAGACTACATGCAGTAAACAGAATAGCATCCTTTTCTTCTTCACTCTTTTTTAAAAAATAATTTCAGATAGGAAAGTGGCTAACACAGTCTCAAAAGTTTCCATATGCCTTTCATATACTAATAAACATTTCAAGTTAAGCTCTGTGGGTATTTTAATTGCTAAAGGAAAACTGGTGAATTAGTTTGTAATTTAAGGAATATATAAACTGAACTTTGAGACAAGTTTTCATTTAGCAATTAACTAACAACACTTAAAATAAAACGGGAACCAACAGTTAGCATAATGGCTATGTCGCTGGACTCCCACATAGTTGACCGCGGTTCACGTTCTGGACCTGGTAGCTTAAAACTCATGCCAGGCGCGTGTGTGTGCATGCCCAAGATCCCAAGAGGAGAATGGAGGAGAAGGGATTGCGGCGTGACCATCCCCTCTGGAGGGTGATTTCTCGCTTTCTGTCTCTATGTCTCTCTCTGTCTGTCTGGCGAGCACATGCGCCTTATAGCGAAAAACCTCTCCAAAAAATAAATAAATAAATAAAACATAAGATTTTAGCTAGTAAACGAGAATTCCTATTTAGACAGAATTTCATAGCTAGCTTTTGTATGTTTTTGTGAAGTTAGAATAATAAATCTGATCACCAGATTTATCATTTTATATTTACACTAAGTTCTGTAATGTCCTACACTCTGGCACTTAAACCCTTCTTGTCCATTTATTACTAACTGGTATTTATCCTGAAGGACATGAAATACTTTCATATCTAAAAATATCATTTAGTAGCAATCATTAATGTCTGTAAAGAACTTAGAACAATGTCTTCTACATAATAAGTACTATAGAAGCATTTGCCTTGAATACTACTACTAATTTGCTGATAATATTACAGATTATTACTGTGGAGTACCTTGTTCGGTATAGTTGTGTTATTAGATTTTACTTTCCAAGTTCTTGTTCTTCAGAAGTTGATGATATCTTTTCAATACATTTTCCGTAAGAATATTGGATAAACTGGAACAGCTCATTTTCATATTGCCAGTGAGACAGTTAGCATAATGGCTATGTCGCTGGACTCCCACATAGTTGACCGCGGTTCACGTTCTGGACCTGGTAGCTTAAAACTCATGCCAGGCGCGTGTGTGTGCATGCCCAAGATCCCAAGAGGAGAATGGAGGAGAAGGGATTGCGGCGTGACCATCCCCTCTGGAGGGTGATTTCTCGCTTTCTGTCTCTATGTCTCTCTCTGTCTGTCTGGCGAGCACATGCGCCTTATAGCGAAAAACCTCTCCAAAAAATAAATAAATAAATAAAACATAAGATTTTAGCTAGTAAACGAGAATTCCTATTTAGACAGAATTTCATAGCTAGCTTTTGTATGTTTTTGTGAAGTTAGAATAATAAATCTGATCACCAGATTTATCATTTTATATTTACACTAAGTTCTGTAATGTCCTACACTCTGGCACTTAAACCCTTCTTGTCCATTTATTACTAACTGGTATTTATCCTGAAGGACATGAAATACTTTCATATCTAAAAATATCATTTAGTAGCAATCATTAATGTCTGTAAAGAACTTAGAACAATGTCTTCTACATAATAAGTACTATAGAAGCATTTGCCTTGAATACTACTACTAATTTGCTGATAATATTACAGATTATTACTGTGGAGTACCTTGTTCGGTATAGTTGTGTTATTAGATTTTACTTTCCAAGTTCTTGTTCTTCAGAAGTTGATGATATCTTTTCAATACATTTTCCGTAAGAATATTGGATAAACTGGAACAGCTCATTTTCATATTGCCAGTGAGAGGAAGTTTATTTAATTCTTTAAAGTATTCACCAAACCTTGCTTATTTTGAGCCTAATATTTCTCCAAACTTAAATATGTGTGATAGTCTTAAACTCAAGATAAAAAAGGGAAAAATTGTATTTCTAGACACAACTAGAAATAACTTTTGTGCAGCAAATAATATTAATGCTCAGAACTTTATAAAGATATTACAGAATCAGAGATTTATAAATGATTGAATGAGAATAATATCTAGATCTATTAAACTCAAAATAAACTTGAGCTTTAAAGAAATGCTCAAAACTGCTAAAGGTACTTAACCTGTTTTTTGAGTTATAATATCAACAAATGAAGTGAAAAATCCTCGTGTTTAGGGTTGTGCTATTGAGAGGTGATGTGGAAAAAAGTAGGATTCAGATGTCCCTTCAACTTAATTCTTTCTTAATCTATAAGTCGAATATAATTCATATCAAAACTTTCAATAGATTTTTAGTGAAATATGACAAACTAAAAATATTTTTCAGAATTGCTGTGGCCATGTCTGCATGTATCCTTGTACTTTTGCTGTTCCATGTGAATTCTTATATTTTTTATACTATGCTTCTATTCTTTAGTTCATTTTTAGGGTATTGTAGATGACTGATTTTTTTTTTTTCCACAGAAGAATGTCAGTGTCCTTAAGTCAAACTATATATTTGATGTGATCTAAATAAAAATACCAGCAAGATTTTCTAAATCAGATAAATAAGTTCTGTGATTTATATAGAGAAACTAAATAAGTGAGTTTCTGAATCAAAGCAGTGGTGTCAGGTCACTGGGGTAACCATCTATGAGAAAAAGAAACTTGGGATCAATACTTTACATTTAAACTAGGATAATTTCCAAATCAATCAGAAATTTAAGCATGAAAACATTAAAGTACTAGAGAAACCACAGGCGAATGTTCTTATAGACTTGAATTATAAAACATTTTTGGAACACAGAAGTTGTAAAAGTAAGAATTGATAAACTTGGGCCCAGCAGCAGTGATGCAGGCGCTAGCATAGTGATCTGTAGTGCTGGAAACCACATGGCTGGCTGTAGGTTCAGATCTGGAGTTGACCTGAAACATGTCAAGATCCTGACTAACTGGAGGAATGGCTAGAGGCAACTGTGGATTGACTTGACAGACCCTTTCAAAATACCTTTCTCTCTCACACACAAGCTGTTTCATGAAAGACATAAGATAAATAAACTGAAAAAAAAATTGATAAAACTCGACTGCCTACAAATGAAAATGTTTTTGTGGCATATTACCATAAGGAAAGACAAATACAGTCTGGGAAAAAATATTTGCATCTTCTGTCACAGTTGTGACTAATTTCCCCATAAGAAAACCCTCTTACAAATAATAAGTTAAAACTGAATTCAGATTAAAACCATACTGATTTTCCAGCAAAACCCAAAAGGTTGATAATATACCATGTTTCATGGGTATGGTAAAACAGGCAGTCTTGTATATTGTTAATAGAGGTTTAAATTGGCATGAGCTCTATGGTGAATAATTTAGTAATACCTGTCAAAAGTACAAATGCATATTGCTCTTTACCCAGGACTTCACATTTAGTATGTTATCCTACCCATATAGTTTCTAGGTGACAAATGCCACATACACCAACTCGTGCATTTAGGCAGTAGTTTAAAAAGTTATCATTTATAGATACAGATATAGAATACAGCAATGAAACTATACAAAATGAAGGAAATAACTTTATATCTGAACAAGGAAAAATCTTCAATATGCATTGCTGTGGGTTGACCTCACAGCTTAGCAATTAAGGAAGCTGGATCCCATATGACCACTCAAGTCTGAGTCCCAGCCCTAGAATTTTGAAAAACATGCTGAGTACGTGTGTACTGATGCCCAAAATCTTGATCTTGACAGGAAAGAAGAATGTCCCATTAAGGATTCTTCCTTCCTTGCTCCCTCTCTCTCTCACAAGTGCACGCATGCACACACGCATACACACACATACACACACATACTCTGGCATTAAAAATAATTTTACCCATATTCCTAGTTTTCATGGTTGTGTAAAATTATTTACATAATCACAGTTTTTTAAATACAGACATTCTTAATTCTTGCTGTTTCTGTGTATAGTGAAACCCAAGAGAAAAAATTTTTGTGTTTTATTTTTTGGAAGGTTTTTTTTTGTTTTGATTTTTGTTTTTTGTTTTTTGGGTTTTTTTTGTTGTTTTTTGAGAGGCTTTTTGCTATAGGGTGCGTGCGCTCACCAGAAAGAGAGACAGAAAGTGAGAAATCACCCACAAGGGTGGATGGCCACACCACAATCCCTTCTCCTTCATTCTCCTCTCGGGATCTTGGGCACGCATGCACACGTGGCGTGAGTTTAAGCC